TGTCTTGTATTCCTATGCAGCCGTGAAGTGCCCCTACAATATGGTGCATTCTGAAAGTGGCTCCCCCTGTATGGACACATGCTTGCACAAAGACACAAATGCACTGTGTGAGGAACACAACAGTGATGGATGCTTTTGCCCGCCAGGTCAGTACCACTATTTATATAATATAAACCAAATTAATATAAACTACTGTTCAAAAGTCTGGGGTCGGTAAGAATTTTTTAAAGGAATCTTTTATTCAGCAAGGATGCATTACATTGATCAAAAGTTATAGTAAAGACTTATAAGGATAGATTTTGAATGTTACAAAAGATTTCTATTTCTATTTTTGAAGAGTAAGCAGCGCAACTGTTTTCAGCATTAATGATAACGATAAGACATTTTCTTCTGAAGGATCATGTGACACTGTAGACTGGAGTAACGGCTGCTGAAAATTCATCTTTGCCTTTGACAACGATATGAAAAATGTGAGTACACATCTCTACTTCCACAATCTTGCATATTTGGGTTTTATAGCAAACAGGACTTTTTGGCAGTTTGAGTGAGTAATGAGATGTACATGTTACAGTGCTGTTCAAAAGTTTAAGGTGAGTGAAATGTTTCAAATGTTTATGCTTACCAAGGCTGCATTTATTTGATTGAAAATACAGTCAAAACAGCAATATTGTTAAGCAACTGTTTTCTATTGTAATATATTTGAACGTAATATATTCCTGTGATTACAATGTATGATTTTTCAATCTTCAGTGTCATGTGATTCTTCAGAAATCATTCTAATATGTTGATTTGGTGCTGCAGAAACATTTCTCATCATTAATGTTGAAAACAATTGTGCTGCTTAAACATTTTCAAGATTGCTTGAGGAATAGAAATAAAACAGCAGACTTTACTGTTATTTTTATTCAACGTAATGTGTCCTTGGTTAATAATAATAGTATTGTATTTATTTTTTTATTGAAAAGCAGTGTAGCTTGTGAAAAATAAAACGGTGATCTTTCTTCTTCAGCCTCTGATTATTAAAGCTGACGGGACGGTGCAACACAATGCAGAAATTTCACTTCCTTACATGACAGGTGAGGGAGAAGAAGCTTTTTATTTATTTTCTGTGTTTTAGAGCCCATGTGCTAAAATATATATATATATATGAAGTGTTTTTCAAGCTCTTCGACTCTTTTTCTCTCAGCTGGCTTCACGGTGTTCATGCCGTCATCGTTTCACATCATGCTTCAGACCACCTTTGGGCTGCAGGTGCAGGTACAGCTGGTGCCTCTTATGCAGGCGTACATCACCGTGGACCAAAGCTTCCAGGGCAAGACTTGTGGTGAGACCTCGGTCTTAAAAAGCACGAAAAAACATCTGAATTAGAAAGTGAATCCATCATGAAAACATTTGTTTGTTTCTGCAGGTCTTTGTGGAAATTTTAACAAAGTGCTGTCAGATGATCTGAAGACCCCTCAGGGAGTGGTGGAGGGTACAGCGGTTTCCTTTGCAAACGCCTGGAAGGCGCAGTCCAACTGCCCCGACCGTACTGAGAGACTGGACGATCCCTGTTCCTACAGCAGTGACAGCGGTGAGAGACTTTTTGCTTCCAAAGTCAATGTGGCGAAGTCAGACCGGTTTGTTTTTAATTCTGTATTCGTCTTGTTTTATACATATACCAAAGGGTTTATAAGTGGATAGGATAGTAATAGATTTGGAAGCAATCAAGAGCACTAGTGGGTGTTCACGTATGACCGAATATAACCATATCAACAGGTGTCAGTATTCTTCCAATACTGTTGCATCAGCCAGTATTTCCACATAAAATTACGTGGTGCCCATGTTTAATACTATATCTGTTTTGTTCTTAAGTAGGAGTTTTAATTAAATTCCCATATTTTGTGATGCTTTTAGAGCACTTTGCTGAGCACTGGTGTTCCAAGATGAAGGACAAGGAGAGCCTCTTTGCCAAATGTCACACCACTGTCAATCCAGACAGCTACTACAAAGTATGATCTTAAACAGTAGCGGATTATATACAGACAAGCAGTATTTTTTTACCTTTTGCAACTAAGCAACCCAGTGTTCATTTAATATTATTTATATTGTATTATAGTATATAGTAATACGTTTTATGCTTACATGTTGCGTTTTAGTAATTGCATGTGCTTTTGTTTTTTAAATATTTCTATTTAGCTTTAAATCTAGGACTTTAAAAGTTTAATTCAATTTATCCCAGCTTCCACAACATGCAGTGACACAACATGTCTATGTATTTTTTTAGAGATGCAAATACTCCAGCTGTACCTGTGAGAAGAGTGAGGACTGTCTGTGTACGGTGTTCTCCGCGTACGCCCGGGCCTGTGCAGCTAAAGGAATAATCCTCCAAGGCTGGAGAGACATTGTGTGCAGTAAGATGGCTGAAAATGATTGATTCTGTAGATGGATGGATGACTGGACGATTTCAGTGAACAAAACATCAAAAGTTTGTTTTTGAAACGGGGCCTTGAACCTTTAGAATTCAAATCAAATGTATTTAATATTACATTTTTATAATACAGAGAATAGTGCAAAAAATGTATACTGCAAGGAATGTGAGATTATGCATAAAGCATAATGAGAGTAAACTTTAAAAGCCAGGTTTTTCACACACTATGTAAGTATATAAAACTATATAGCTGCCTTTATATTTTAGGAAGGGCATCCTTTACAAGAGGGATCATCATATTTGGGTGTCTCCAAAAACTTGAAAATCCCTTATCTAACCTAGAAGATTAGTGGCAACTTTCGTGTGATCACTGAGAATATGCCTTGTGGAACAACAGGAACCACATGTTCAAAGGCTGTCAAAATACTTTTGGGGGTAAGGCCACAGGCGTAGCATGCTATGCAGTTTTATGTTTGGCAAAATATTCAGTACTATGTGGTACATTCAGAGAAAAATAAAATGTTTTTAGCTGTTCAGCATGTTAAAGTTGTTACGTGTAGTATAAGACAATAATAGTGTACAATTTTGTTAATTTTAAAGGCCAATGAAGGATTTCCTCCCCTCATTCTCTTCAACATTTGAAAGCAATACAGAGTCAATGTCTGTCATTGGATTCTATAGTTGTTTTACGATGTTTGCGACTGTTTTTTGTTTACTTCTCTCGCACACAGAGGACTTTGCTGCAGCTTGTTGATGGAAATGTAAAGGCCACTGATATTGCAAGGGGTCCAAAGATCGAGTACACTGAGAAAATCATTGGGATGTACCTTGTCATTGATGCTAACATTGGACTGACAGTTTTGTGGGACCGCAAAACCACCGTCCGCATCATTCTGCAACCTCAGCTCATGGTGAGTTGGAGCCATGACTCATGATCTTCAATTTTTTATGTTTTAAATTTACGCTTCCAAACAATTTGCAACAGTCCCTGAATTTGATTTATTTGTAGCGCAACATCTGTGCTTTATTGTTTTTTGACAGGGAGACGTTTGTGGTCTGTGTGGAAATTTCAATGAAAATGGAAAAGATGACTTTACCACTCAGGGAAATTTGCCAACTTCAAATATCCTGGAGTTTGTGGACAGCTGGAAAGGAAGCATATGTCCGGATGCAAAACCAGACTACGACCCATGCCTTGAGACCCCCAATCGAGAGACATGGGCAAAAATACAATGTAGCATCATCAAGGATATCAATGGTCCATTCAAAGTCTGCCATAACACGGTACAGCTGCAAAGGCTTCTGAGTAAATAAATGGAGTTCCCTATAATGTGGTGGTTGCCGTGATTTTGCCAAGGAAGACATGTTCCTGGATCAACATCTTTTGTTGATCCAGGATCAACATTACTGTCCAAAAATATAGACTAAACCTCTGCTTCCAAAGATGCACAACTTCAAGCCGACTCTGGCCAAGGTGGCACATCTTTACTGGCATCTTTATGAATCGGAAGAAGCTTGATGTGGTGTTGAAACTCCATCAGGTGCTTTTTGAGTCTTTAAGGCACAAAATACGTAGAATTTATTGCAAACAGTATCTAGGGAATATTGTAAACAAGGCACAGCGAAGCTATCTTGATCGGCCCCGATACCGATCCGTGAGAGAGGCTCAGGACATCCTTATTAATTACAAGACTGCTTAAAAATGTTCATAAACCTTCACATTTCTAATAAAGTGATCTAATTCAATGTAATTTTGTTGTTAACAATAAAGTATGCAATTAATGGGTTAGTTCACCCAAAAATTTAAATTTGCATGTGATTTACTCACCCTCGAGCTATCCTAGGTGTATATTACTTTTTTCTTTCAGACGAATCCAATCTGAGTTATATTAAAAATTGTCCTAATTTTTAATAAAACTCCGATTGGATTCGTCTGAAAGAAAAAAGTAATATACACCTAGGATAGCTCGAGGGTGAGTAAATCACAGGATAATTTTCATCTTTGGGTGAACTAACCCTTTAAGTAAAATTATTCAACTAAATATAATTAAAATAATAGAACTTGTATAATAATTCAACTAATAGTAATCTCTCTTGCCAGTAATTCACAAAACCATTTGTGATCATGACTCACCAGTTAAGAACTGATGATATGTGTGTAACTATATTTATTTATTTATTTATTTATGCAGGATGTTATCCAAAATGTCCAGAGGATAAGCCTATTTTTGATGAGCAAAATCAGATCTGTGTGGAGACATGTATCCCGCCACCGCCACCAGAGTCTACTACAACACCAGAACCTACCACATCATCTACTCCTGCACCGACAACTACTACAATGTCTACTACAACAACACCAGAACCTACCACATCATCTACTCCTACACCGACAACTACTACAATGTCTACTACAACAACACCAGAACCTACCACATCATCTACTCCTACACCGACAACTACTACAATGTCTACTACAACAACACCAGAACCTACCACATCATCTACTCCTACACCGACAACTACCACTAAGTCTACTACAACACCGGAATCTACCACATCATCTACCCCTACAACAACAACTATCACATTTACTTCAACATCAACTACGCCTACACCATGTATATGTATATGTTGGTGGTCTGACTGGTTTAATGAATATCATCCTGATGTAGGAGGGCATGACTTGGAGACTTATGAAAACATTAGAGAAAGTGGAAAAGAGATCTGTGAACAGCCAGTAGATATCGAATGTAGGGCTGTGGGCGAACCTGACATGAGCTTTGACGAGTATATTAATTATTCAAATCAAGTTGCCCAGTGCAATGTTTCATATGGATTGGTGTGTAAGAAAGAACAACAGAATGTCCGCCCTTATAAATGTTTTGACTATGAAATACGTGTTAACTGCTGTAGCCCTTGTTGTACCACATCATCTACCCCTATGACAACAACTACGACGAAGTCTACTACAACAACACCAGAACCTACCACATCATCTACTCCTGCACCGACAACTACTACAATGTCTACTACAACAACACCAGAACCTACCACATCATCTACTCCTGCACCGACAACTACTACAATGTCTACTACAACAACACCAGAACCTACCACATCATCTAC